CTACGATATTTTCCTTTCCGGGGGTATGCTTTGATTACCAAGATTATATTCTTGTAGCTTGAGTGCCCATCTTATTAACCTTGGGGATAAAGTTTTTCCCTGAGTACAATCTAGTTACCGCCGCATGATCAGAAGTACACTGTTATCGGCGCCTTTCCAAAATAGACTCGGAACTTTTGCACTGCTAACAGAACTAACTGCAAGTGCCTCTCTCTCGGTCAGTCGCGGAATATTTTCTTTGAGTGTTTGATTTAAAGTTCGGCTACTAAAAAATGCCACGGGCTGCTGATTTTGCGAAAGTACCGCTCCTACCGCATATAATCCGAAGCATCCGCTGAAATTTCTAAATTCTCATCCTTTTCATCGCTGAAATTTCAACCACTGGGGCTTGTGTTATAAAATGCTTGTTTTAATTTTTCGAAAGCACTATTGGCTTCGGCCGTCCACTAGAATCTATGCCTTTTTTCCTTATTCTTATCATACCGGTATGGTTTTTTGACGAACTGGCATTGCATCTCCGGTGTCAATACTATGGTTAGTAACCTGAGTAAATCCTGGAATATCACTAAATAACGAAGCAAATTCACTTACCAACTTGTCGGATTCTATCTTGCTCGTCATTAGGCAGGTGGTCAAGATTTAACCTTGGCGGTTCAGCCTTTTCTTACGAACTGGTTTCATTGTCAGCTTAAGGGACGCTTCATTAAAATCCAGTGTGCTTGTGCGTCTGAAAGAAAATCTATTCCTAAGATTAATATGTGCTTGCAGATTCTTTACTATAAAAAACATCACCTTTACTTGTTCGTCCTTGATACGGATATACAAAGGTACTTTACCTACGCACTTACATTTTTCTCCTTGCGCCGCTAACACTGTCGTATTATCCGAATTATATATGCGGTATTTGTCCGAAAATACTTCCTAAAAAAATCTTCTGCCACACAGGAACACTGCGCGCCTGTATCCAGGAGTGCGGTGGCTGGGATATTATTCACCAAGACTTCAATCTTCGGAAGAGTCAAATTTTTCACCATTACTGTATTTAACTTGTAGGAAGAGGGGTTTTCGTGGCCTTCGGATTTCCGCACCCTCCCGTCAGCAGAAATCCGTTTTAGTTTAAATTATTTTTCCTTTCCGTGCTTTCCTTCTTTTTCCACTGGCCTTGAGACTTTTTTCCTGGTTGCTATTGAACTGTCGACGTTCGCCGGCTGTTTTTGAATGCTCGGGTTTCCTTGCCCACTGATTCGCTTTTTCTCCGTAGCCGTGTGCTTGAGTTTGCTGTAGTCTTGGCGTACCAAATTGGTTTTTCGCTGTTGATATTGGCGTCTTCTTTCGACGTCCGCCGTTCTTCTACTTTCAAACTGGATTGCTAGCTCAAATAACTTTTCCAGTGTAGTCGGATTTCTTAATTCAATAAAGTCTTGCACTTGGGGCAGTAACCTCGGCAAAATCACTTGAATTATTTCAGGATCCGGACGGTTTCCATACAAGAGCTTGAAAACGTGAATTTTTCTTAAAATAAAGCTCGAGAGGTTTTCCATTCTTTGTTGATATATACTGAAAAGTTCCTGTTTCTAATTTCGCACGATCCCTTACAACAGGGAAGGCTTTTAGTAGGGCAGTCTTGAAATTTTCGTAAGTATAGGTGGGACTTCCTGCTTGACCCAAGAGACTTCTGCCTATACATTTGAACCAGTTAAGCGCTTGGCCCCTCAAAGCGCTGGTAGCTAAGGTAACTTTTTGAAACTCGTGCACGGGGTAGAGCATGAAGTGGTCATCCAATTTTTCCAAAAAAACTGGTTACCGGTGAGTTTCCATTAAATGTTGCTTCTGGTTTCATCGAAGCGCGCGCATGGTCTGGACGATGTAACCAAATCCTTCCAGGGCGGCAGCTGGCATTTCTGGATTCTGAGCCGTTTCTGCAGGCAGCACAGGTTCTTCTTGAAACTCGGCCATGGTTATTCTTCTTCGTTGGGCGCCACTATCAGGTTCAATGTTCCTTCTTACCTTTCTTCGGGAACATGCAAGGACCTGACTCGGAACAGAGAGCTTACTAAAGCTATGTTCAACTAATTGTGGGTAAGTAGACAGGATACAAACGAAGGGTATACAAAACCCTTTATTTTTCTCTATATACAATAACTTCCGTACTTCGGAATACACTGACCCGCTACTTGGGGTCTAACGTAAAAGTATAAAAATAAAACTAAACTCTAATTTAACTTTGGAATAATAAACGTGGAAGATTGGCCTTATATTAACAGGAAGCGTATGTAGTACAGAGACTGTGAACACTACAATACGTTTTAAAATTTATCAAGAGGATTAAAACCTCTGGCCTGGAAGGCAAACAGCAACTGCGTAACTTCTAAGGTAAGCGGCCTGCGTCGACTCACTGCTTCCTCTCTTTTGCTTGGCAAAAAGCCACAACTTAAATACTTGGCGTTCGCCAGACAAACTTTGCATAAAAACCTTAACGCTTATAATTCTGGCCGGAAGTAGAAAATAAGAAGTGATAGTAAAGATTTAAAATAAAATAAACGTTAGTAAAACTTAAGATCCTTACAAACTTCATGTATGGTAAACACGGGTTTTGGCGACATTATGATGAGCAGTAACAACAGTTACCTCTCTCTGTCTCTTAGTCTGTTTTTAAGAAGGTGTTGGGCAATAAACCAGTCATTTTGGTGTTGGTGGCAGTTTTCAAAATTGTACCAAGGCTGTACTAGAATTTTACCTCAAAATCTTTTAAACTTTTTTTTTTTCTTTTTTTTCCATTTTAATAAATGCCTTATTTTTCATTTTGTAATAAAGTATAAAAATAGTAATCAGTCATCTAGTTAATGTTTAATATGACTATATTCACCAAAATATCATTGATTATTGTAATTCAGTTTTTAAGTAATTAACTTCATTTTAATGTTATTTATATCATTTAATGTTCTTCTTTCCTCTAAATTTATTTATTATTAGTTAATAATAATTTCAAATTTCAGCCAAATTTCTCTGGCATAATTCTAAAACTAAATCTAGAAAAATGATGACATATCACGAAATTTAATGCACATATTTTTGCTTATGTATGCTGCTAAATAAATATAAAATATCATTAAATAGATTTCTTTCTTTCGTTTAGCTGCAAAATGTCTGCAAAAAAACTCATTTTTTAATCCAGATTAGGCAGATTCTAATCTCAATCTTCAGTGGTGAAAAAGCTCTTATTATAGCTATAATAGTAATGCTTTCAGGATTATACTATATATAATAAGTCTCGATCCCGGTCCACAATTTTTGTGTTTTCAAGTGGTACCATAATTAATTTACCTCTCAGCGCAGCCAACGCGCACTATGCGGATAGACTGGAATTTTCTCAAAACACACCTGGAAAAGTCAGGGAATTTCATTCTTCTCTTTGAGTGGCAACCCTGTATATATTTATAAATTTTTTAAACAAAAATGGAGAAGTGAATTTATGACATGTGTCTCAGCCAACAGCTGGAGGGACATCTTGGAAATGAAATTACCAGACAAACCATAGGGAATAACTGTGGCCAATTTTGGGCGTAAAACTGGTTATGACTTCTTGGCGAGCCATCTCTATCGTGTTGGTATTACCAGTCCAAACTGACCACCTTGCAGCTTAAATGGTGAAATGGACAGGACTCGCATCGGAAGGTGCCTAGCGCTGCGTGGAATCTCTGAGGTGGAGATGGACAGGAGCACTAGAGAGCAGCTGATGAGTTATTGACTTTTTGTGCTATATGTTCACAGAGTTCTGTTTGTATAATGTTTGTCTTATTCTCTGCCTAGAATTTTTTCTGTAAATAAATTTTTAAAGTAATTAATGTCCTTAATATGAGAGAATGAAATTCTCTTTGCGGATTTCACCATATTTAACTGAATTCATTAATAAGAAAAATATTATGAATGAAATTAGTTTTATTAAATGATTGCATTTTTAACTACGGTTAAGCAAAATATATTGTAACGTCTCTCTTTCTAAGATATTTTCATTATTGTTCACATATAGAAAGCTAGATATTTGCAGTTTGCCTTGTGTATATAAATACACCATTGAATGAATTGTGCAGCTTTTCATTTTTGATTAGCAATAAATTTTCTAATTGAAATGGTGATGGATATATATTGGCAGAATTATGTCTTGTTGATACAAAAACTGGTGATTAAAAAGTAATCTAAAAATAAAATAAAAATTATTATAGTTTTAGAACATTTTGTTTAATTTTAATAATTCATATTTTAGTTTAATTTTTTCCCTTTCTTTTGGTTTTTCTTTGGTGTGTGTGATATTAATTTTTTGCAGATAATGAGGTAAGAATGTAATGAAAAGGGTAGGATCCTAGAAAATTATTTACAAAGCCTTTTTATTCCCCAAGAGTTAAGTAAAAAATATTCATAAACTATCGTTTAAATAGCAATCTGTGTTTTCCAAAATATATTTTTCTGCATTGCTTTTAGTTGTAGCAGTAGAAACAAACTGTGATTACTTTAATTCATTATAATTATAATGAACTAATGTTCATTATAATAATAAGAATATACTGTTAATGTAATTAATGTAAAGGTGAACTTAATATGTTAGAATTTACTGATCACAGTAAATCTTTCTGCATAGTAATCAGTCGCAAAACACTTCTTATTCATATTACTGGAAAGAATATGTAATAAATAATCCTAGTAATAAATAATTTTTCGGATTTCTGGTATATATTTTCCAGTATTTCTAATGCGGCCGTACTACCTCCAAGTTTGCCCAACTTTTCTTTGCGTGAAGGATCACTTAAATATTTTACCCAGTACTTGCAGGCACAAGTTTGCTGCAAACGATGAGAATTTTTGCATCTGTATAATATTCTTTAGTTTTATCTGCAAACCTCAGCAGAATTACTGCATACACAATTCTGAACATATCAAAATTTGAATATATGTTTGATTTCTATAAAATCACCAAGTTTATTATTATTACTTTATCCTTGCAGGAAAGTGATAGTGAAGGTGAGGGAGTTGATGAAAATGATGAAATAACAGAGAAAATTGTATCACCTGATGAAAAGCGCATACCGTCTCCAGTTGAAGATGTAAAAACAGAAGAAGAAAAGAAGCAAGAATTAGTAAGAATTGCATATAATATTTTTCAGATATTTTCTTTATTTCATTTAGTATATTTAGTCAGTTTCAATTATTTCTTTCTCATAAGGAGGTAAATTTCATGTTAATCAATATGCCCATTACTGATGATCAAATTTTTGTTTTATATTAATCTAGTAATTCCATTGACATTTGTAGGATATGTTTTATAGGTAAATGTAATTCTTCAGATTTTTCTAATAATGACGTATTGAAATACTAGCAACTGGGAAAATTGTGTGCAAATCTATAACAAGTTCTGGAAAACGTTAGTTCTTTTTTATTTTATTCATTCATATTGAAAGAAACAGCCCTTGGAAAATCAGACTTATTTTTCTTTTCTCAGTTGCTGTTTGCCATTGAATAATTAATCATGATGCAAACGCTTTAATGTCAGCAATCTTAGCTTTAAAGGTGGCCAGTTTATAGCATTCAGTTTGTGTTATATATGCAGGTTGTTTTAGGAAGCAGCTAGATGTTTTAATTCCTTGACTTTAATGCTAAGCGTGTATATTTTTCGTTTCTGAATTTCTCTAACTAAGCAAAAAAAAAAAAATGCTGAAAGTAGTTTGAGCATTTGGGATCCCAGGCAGCATGCCTTTGTTATAATTGCACATGATAAATATGGTAACAATAGCTAACATACCTTTCTTCTATGAGCTGATGATCCTTTCACTGGATTGTGATGTTAACTATTGAAACCATTAGAATATTACATACAGTCCAATATGTATTTGATCGTTAATCACAGTTGATATAATGGAAGTGATTATTATATTTTATTAATATTATAACTGAAGTATATGTTAAAATTGTATGCTATCAAAAAAGATACTGCTTTATTGATTAAATTGTCATAAGAATTGTTAGCTAGATAAAATATGCACCTTTAAAATATAATTGCATATCTGTTAATATATAACCAAATAAAATGTGACAAACACATTCCTTTATTGTTATATAAATTAAATTTTTTTTTTTTTTTAAGATGCTGAAAGTGCGCCGAATGTTGACTGAAGTTTTATTATCTGTGACAAATGCAGAAATGCTTTCTATTGCCCAAGAGGTGTATAGGAAAGCATTGTCTAAAGGTATCATTACTGAAGATAGCTTTATCTTTCAGTTCTGTTTAATATTGATTCTGCTAAATAATAGACTAATGTTTATGATTTTTAAAGATTTAATTAATAAATATTTGCCAGTAAATGAATTATCTGTTATTTCACATTAGTTTGCATGAACCTAGTTTTAATTAAAATAATGCTTATTCGTAATATTATGAGCTTAAAAATTAACTTTTTAATAATATAATCAAGTTATACATTATTAATTCTGCCTACCCACCTTTTTTTTTTTAAATGAATTATAATTCATGCTTTTATATAGGAACAAAGATGACTGTATGAAAAGGTATACATTTTTTATTAGCATTTTTTTTTTGTTGTTGTTGTTGTTGTTGTTGTTGTTGAAATTTTGTAAATTCCAAATTCAAAAATGGTGCTTAAAGTAATTTTCTAAGCAATGGTATTTCTTGAATTCTTGTTATTAAATTTAATTGTTGTACTTTTATGACTTTTTAATAATATTTATTCAAAACAATGAAAAGTATAATTACTGTCTAGTTTTGTAAAAGTATATTACTTGATAATATTGAAAAAAAGATTTAAAATTAATTTTCTTTTCAATTTCTGAATATTTTTCTGAGCAATTACTTGTGAAGCCGCTTTTTTCTGCTTAATGCAGCTAATATTTATTTCTTCATAACTAACATAAATTCTATTTTTTTTTTTTTTTTTTTCTTTATTTATCCAGATAAAACTTGTATGTTTTATTTCTGCTTTATTAGTAATCTGATCTTTTACTTAAGTGTTATTTTAGGTATTTCTGAACTACACACTGCTGTGATTATTGATTTTTGATTTTTTCTATGTCACTAAACTTTATATATATTACATAAAAGTTCCAGCGCGTCAGCTGGCCTCATCCAAGTCACTGACTTCTGTAGCGTCCAGTTTACGTAAGTATTGGATTTATTTCCTGTTTTGTGTGCTGCTTACACTAATCACAATATCACTCTTTGCAATAGATGAAAATTTAATGTTTTATAAAATTTCAATTTTAAACAACTTTCTTGGTTTAATTTTTAATTCATCTGTTCCAGCTTAACAGCACAAAACTTCTTTTTATATTACTGATATATGGTATTGTAAAAGTGTTTGAAATAATGTAATGTATTTCATGTTGTATTTTTATTATTATTTTTGCGGGGTAATAGAGGGTAGGGGGGCTGCACAAACTGATAGTAACATCTTAAAAAAAACTGTTGCTCTATAGTTAAAATTTCATTAAACTTTTTAAAGATGGCTGTCTTAAGAAAATATGTATTTATTTTTTAATTAAAATTAGATAAAATATTTGATATGACTATAAAAGTATGCCTTTTAAGAATTTTTTGGGTTTGTATTTATTGATGTATTTTTTGTTCTTGTTTTTGTGTTACATATTTTGTTGTGACATTCTGAAGATTATACTGCTGTTGAAAGTATATTTATTCTTAATATACAGCTTGCATCATAAGTGTTATTTTTTACTTGAATATCTGTTATCATTTTATGGAACTGCAGTTGTGATGCTTAGTATTTATTCTGCATTCAGAGCAACAAATAAAACTTTCATAACAACAAGATATGCAAATAATAAGTAATCTTCATTTGTTTGCTTCTGATAGCAGTATTATATATTCAAGAACTGATTTTTATAATAACTGTCATAAAACATATGTGGCATGAAAACTCTTGAAAACTGTTACTAAGTGGAGATGACATAAGCAAAGAATTAATTATATTTATGATCAGTTCTGTTTATACTAACATTTGTAGAGAGCCATAGCCATGCTTTTCAATCTTCTGAAAATAATTGAGGCAACTAATTGGGAAAGTAGATTTTATAGAGACAACACTACATGATTTCATGTCCAGCAGTAAATAGTTTATCTAAAGTCAGCAGTCATTTTCTTCATACAATAAAACTTTGTCATACATACTAGTCATTGTGTGGTTCTGTTTTTAACCATTATATATCTTTTATTTATAATGGTTATGTTGTTGAATTCTGTATAATCAAAAATAACACCATAATTTTCTATGACAACTTTCACTTAAGATTCGAGGATTGCAAGAAACATATTCAGACTGTGTGAAATAGGAAGCAGCAAACATCACTAACTATTCATATCTGATGCAATTGCTTCATGGTGTTGGAGAAACAATTTCCTTCATACTAGACTGTAATTGTGTACTGTGTCCTGGTTTTAAAGGAATCTTGTTTTATCAAGTGAATACCTTCATACTTGACATGCCGAACAGTTATTGCAATGATGCAGTGTCACTGTCCGGTTCTTCTCTTCTAGTTTTCCAAATATAGGAAAACAGTACTTTCAGGTATTTTGGCTTTTATGTCAGAAACAGTTAACTCTCTGCAGGGTACAGAAAGCGGTTCATCTGTACCTGATGTCTGCGTAATTTGGAATCTCGGTTGTCAAATGTATTGCTATTAAAGGTTGTACATGTGACATAAATGTAACAATGTGAGTTTGACTTTTCCACGAAACATGTATTTGGAAATATTGTATCTCGATTTTGTAATTGATTCATCAAATTCTAAATGGTGCAATTTCTGATCCATTCAGTTTACAGACTCTCATCAAAATGTAATTTTTATAGAGGACAAATTATATTGATTTTAATTTATGAAATATTAAAAATGCCTTAAGAAATGATTTCAAATGTTTTGCATTTTGCCAGCATGGATCATTGTATTTAAATAGGAATGTAAAGCAGAGTCTTAGTTGTCATGAACATTTTAAGATTCTTACTTTTTTTATAGTATGCTGCAAAGTAGCTGCTTTTTCAAATAGAACTGCTGCTTAGAATAAAAATTTCAGAAAAATGTAACAGATATTTGCTCAGATGTGTTAAATAAATTTTATTACTATTACCAAAGAAGTTGAGAAATACATTACTACTGAATGTGAATCATTGCTGTTTGAATGCCTATGTGAAATATGTAACCAAAATGAACAAAATGCTTCATTATCAATTGTTTTTGTTAAGGATGACTGTCAAGATTACTCAAGCTGCAGATTGCCCTCAAGTATACAAAATTTATTTCTCAGAATTAAAAAGATTTTTTTTTTTTAATCTCAGCATTCAGTAATTATAACTAGCAGAAGATTATGCATATGTGAATAATGGACTTCATTAAAATGACCACAAATAACTCCACTTCAAATAAATGGGCTATATTTTGCCTTTGGATCAAAAGTGATACTACCTTGAATGAAGACTCCTGTATGAAAAACTGTGTTTATTAACAGCTCACGATTTTACTTCTGCAAGAAGGAGAAACGAAATATTGAACTTCAGGAACATCATGATAATTTTAAATTATTTTAAACTGAAGATAAATTGAAATACAGCTATTGGATTGTTAAGAAGCTTAGTTAAGTAAAAATTCTCAAATGAGACAGTATATAAACTGTAAAATTATATTCCATTTTTGAATTTTGAAATTTTTACTTTCCAGCTCCAAATTGAGGCACTCAAAATAAATTTCAGTGCATTAAAATTTTACATTGGTTGGGTTGTGCACTTTGACTTGCTTTTGTCACTGTGAAAAAATTATGAAAAGGAAAAAAAAAAAATATTTCAGTCGTGCTTTTTAAAGGAGAACTTTAAATTTTAGGTTTATTAATTACAATTACATATGGCAAATATGATAAACTTGAATTCCATAAATGACAGGAGCCAGGTATGATAAGTGAAATCTGCATTCATACTTCCTTTTGCACTTGCTTTGGAGAACTGCACTGCTGAAATGAAGCTAACTTTGTGCTACAAGTAATGTTCAAGCCATAAAACTGTGTATGGCAACTATGATAAAATCTATGTATACAATGGCAAAAAACAGTTGTGTATGGCATCTAGAGGAAACCATTTCAATCATAAGGTTTCGTATAATATTTTCAGTGCATTAGACATTTTTCATTGAAAGGTTCTCCATTAAAAAAAAAAAAATATTATTCCTTTCAGGCAGATAATTGTAATGTGCTTGCTCTGGTTAAATTCAGTGTTTTTACACATGTCAGATAAAGTTAAAATTGTATGAGCCAGTATAATTTTGGATAATTAGAACTCTTACTGTTTTTAAAACTGAACTGTCATCAAAATAATTTTGATGTAGTTTAGTAGTTGAACTAAAATATTTAAAAAATATTCTGGATAATATAAAATAGTGTGGTTTGTTGGTAAAGAAGATATGCCATCATTTTCTAAAAGATTTATTATTTGGGTAAATGAGAATTCTCTCAGTTTCTTTACTATAAGCATAATTTCATGCATTACTGTTGACTTTTAATGAGATATAAGTACTGTGCCTATAAGTATATAAATAACTATTTTTTTAATCATTTTATCCATATTACACTGTATTTATGTGTGTATCTGTCATAGATTTAAAAATTGTCATTATTTCAATAAAGGAATATTTGTTTTGAACTATGAATTTTTTTTTTTTTTTTTTTTTTAATTTACATTAGTGTACTGCCTTTGTGTTAATACAACCAGTTTCAAATTTTAGGGTAAACCATTGCATGATTGCAAAAAATTTAAGTACATAAAAGTCAGAATATAAATGTATATGGTAATAGCAGAGTAAAAATCTAAATAATAATATAATAACTATATATTATTATTTTATAAGTCTTGTGTCTTATTATTTATAAGTCTTGTTTTGTGAAAGAGTTTGCAAAAAAATATTAAATTGTTATTAAAGTGTAATTCAGCAAAACAAAAACTTAGGCTTTTTAATCATGCTTTAGTTCATTGATTAAATTATAAGCATTGTCATATATTCCAATCAGTTGATACCAAGAGGATAAAAATTAGCTATAAGAAATTACAGATCATCCATAACACAGCATTGCTGCTCAGAAAATAATTTTTTACATTCTGTGCTTTCAAAATTATTCAGTCAACTTCTTCACCTTCAGACTTCCTGCAAGCTTTTTCAGGTTCTTAAGAATCTGTTTTAATCTATGATCCAAATTCTAATCCCTGTTTACCTTTGTCTTTTGCATTTTGTTTTCTTACTTTGAATAAGAATAAAATGTGGGCATTTCTCCAAGGATTAATGCACCTGCTAGGGAGCCATTATTGGAAATATGTTCACAAGCTTCTACAGATGGTTTTTGCTGTGTGTGTGCAGGGAAGCTGTGATTTGTGAGGATATGTACAAAACTCTGACCTTTACATTTTTCACAACATACCTGTGTAAGTGTTTGGACTCTGGACTATCATATTCTCTCTCCAAGAATCTTGGAAACAAGGTTTTGCATTATGCAAATTACCACTATTAATTTTTGTCTTCTTTTCATTTGATATAATATCACAATAATAAGAGGTACTGAATCAAACACAATTACTTTAACTGTCATTAAGTATGATTTTTGCGATGTTTTTCGTTTACATACACGTTTCTCTCTTTTTACTACAAATAAATTTTTTTGGGGGGGGGTCAGTTTACTGTGACCATGTCATGGTTCACATGTTCAAATTTATTATTTAATTTAAAAGTACAAGAAAATTAGTTTTTCTATGCAAGATGATGTGGTTTATGTAAGCAGCAAGATATTAAAAAATTCTTTGAATTCTTTTACATGTGCTTTATATGTTGTTAAATTGTTAATACAAATGTACTAAGGATGTCGTCAGTATGCTTTTGATAGCTTTTAGTTTGAAAAATGGCGGTAATAATTTTATTTTACAATTTTCATTATTAAGTTTATATGTCTTACATTCATATGAGAGAAACTACTTAATAATTTTAAAACTTTACAAGGAATTATTAATGTATTATGTTAGAAAATATCTACATAACAGTTTTAGTTGTTAAAAATAAGTTACACACCTTAAGTCACCATAGAACATATTAAATGTTTTATGCCTTGTGCACTTTGTATAGTGCCTATTAGTCATAAATAAGTAATTTATAACTTAGGTGGTCTTGCCAGCTACGGAACAGAAAGTGAAGACAGTGAAGGAGAGGATGAAAAAGATGCTTCAGATTCTGAAGAGGAGCTGTATCGTAGGATTAAAGAAAAAAAGAAATTATTTGCAGTAAAGGAAAAGAAAATTATAGCTGATCTTGAAAAGAAGGAATTAGAAGAGCGGGCAGAAGCTGAAAAGTTGAAACAAGGTAATGCAAGTGTGTCTTTTCATTAACAAAAAAGTAAATATTCCACAGAAAATTTACTTTTTACGTACTGTAATGTATTTATCAGCTTTTCATTCCAGTTGTTACCAGCCAACAACCTTTTAGAATTTGAAACATTGAATTAGAACCTGAAACATCAGAATCATCCTGTATAGAATTTAACTAATTCTAACTCATGAATAGCTCCTATAACTAAAAAGTACCAATTATAAAATTGACATTATCCCATAAATGGAATGATTTAACCCTTGTTTATTACTTTAATAATCGCCGCATTATGCACAGTTAAAAATTGCTTTTAAAAATTCCATGGCTAGCATAATTTTAAAAACTTAGTCATTAATATTAGAAAAATCAGTCTGAGCATAATTTTTATTTCATATTTTTACAATTAACAGTCTAAAGAGACACATTTTGGCCATTGCTGGCATGTGTATTATCTCTTGCTTCTGGAACAGAGTATTTTTTAAATTGTTACAGTCTGCTTAATATTTGGAACAGGCATATAATACATGTACTGTGTGCTGTATTTTACTCTGCAAAAGTTCCTTTACTTTTATCTGTGTTTAAACATGGTTGCAGTATGTCAACCTAGAATATTTTATCTCCTTTTCAGCTTCATTTTAACTGTTGGTGCCAGTTAAATTTTAAACCTGAAACACCAGGCTCATTTGTTTTTCATCTGCAGTTTTCATCATTATTAACTGTTTCAATAAGAGGGATTTTATCAATGAATACTGAATACCTAATTTGCACTTTGAATCTTATGAAAGTAAAAATAAAGGCAAAATAAATTTGAAAATTTATTTGCTGGTTTAAATATGTTTAAAAAATAATATTTCCATTTTTTGTGAAAAGTATTTATAGAAGTTTTGATTGAAACTTTCTCACGAAAAACATCCAAAAATGGCCAAAAGGTTTAAATTGTTAAACTCAAAATAATTTTGAAGAAAATAATTTGCATGGTCTGGTGTTCCTTGTATGTAATGAAAATATAAGACAATTTATTTTTGAAAATTTGCTAAGAAAGACTATCTTTTCATGGTTTTTTTTATACTTACATGAGCATACTGTTTGATGATACTGCAGGAAATTTATGTACTAAGTTTTTTTGAGCAGTGTCACAATGTATTTTATCATAATGTATGTAATTGATTCATGCATAATGAAAAATAATCTCATTGAACAAAATTATTATATTAGAATTCGTACAACTTAACTAATTTTTAATAATTTCAATATTACTTAAACATATTATGTGCTGGACCTTGTTTAGAGACCTGTCTCATAAAAGAAAAATTTGAATTTTTTAGAACCTATGTTGTTCTGATTGAAAGAAAGCACACCAAATTCAGATGTAAAACTACCCCCCACCCCACCCCAGAAAAAAAGCAACTCTAGATCGGTGTAAATTTTGAATAAATTCACTCCAATATGATGTTACCTTTTCCCATGGTTTTTGGATACTTTGTTATTTTAACCCTGTAACTGCCGCGGCCATATATATACATACGCCTTGTGCAGCTGATGCGTTAACTGCAACGGGTGTATATATACACCCTTCCAAAATACTATCATTTGCTTTGCGCTGCTACCCGTAAAATTATTCGCAAAGCTTTGGAATGTAACACCACAATCACCCTGACAAAGTATACGAAGGAGGATACTATTTCAAAGAGGGGGGAATCGGAGAGGGGGATGTTTGCTAAAGTGAAAGTAATGACTGCGCGGTATTGGCTGGTGTTGTTTGAGGGTAAAACGTATTTTTTTTATTCTGTGTCCTCCCTTTTCGTTTACTTTTTGTAGTAGGTTCCAGGAATAAAGAAATATATAACGGATGCTTCAAACCCATTTATCTTTTTTGAATTATTTTTTTGATGAACTGCTCGGGCTTCATATTGTTGCTGAAACTAACCGTTTTGTAGACGAGTATATGAACCAACACCTTGCAAAAGAAAAATAAAGATAAGAACAAAATCGTGGCATTCAACCAGTTCAGAATATGTGGTTTTTAGGCATACTGATTTCACAAGGTATAACACTGAAACCTGATATACACTTTACTGGTCCAGAGTTGCCAACTCTCCGATTTAGGAGGGAGACTCCCGATTTTCGACCGCTCTCCCGCCAACCCGATTTACAATATATTTCTCCCGACTTTTTCTTATTCTTAATTTCTCACGTTTTTATGGAACTTGGCTTATACTTCTTTATATGAACAAAAAAAAAAAGTGGTTTTTTTGGACGTCTGAAAAAACGAATTTCTCTAGATTATATCTAAAATGAACCTGCCAATCAGATGAGAATTTCTGCTTTGTGATCGACAGCATACGTATCCAGAAACTTCGTCTCCAGTTGTCCAATGGGCATCGAGCTCCACTGCGTGTCATCTGGCATATTAGCCAATGAGCACAAAGCAGCTCAAGACCGTTGGCCGTCTTTGGATTTGTTCTTTCGCATTTCGTTCATCTTGTCCTGAGTGTGTGAGTACATGTGCCCATTTATCTTTTTTGAATTATTTTTTGATGAACTGCTCGGGCTTCATATTGTTACTGAAACTAACCGTTTTGTAGACGAGTATGTGAACCAACACCTTGCAAACGAAAAATCAAGAACAAAATCGGGGCATTCAATCAGTTCAGAAGAAATATGTGTTTTTTAGGCATACTGATTTCACAAGGTATAAACACTGAAACCTGATATTACACTTTACTGGTCCAGAGTTGCCAACTCTCCCGATTTAGGCGGGAGACTCCCGATTTTCGACCGCTCTCCCGCCAACCCGATTTACAATACAATATATTTCTCCCGACTTTTCTTATTCTTAATATTTCTCACGATTTTATGGAACTGCTTATACTTCTTTATATGAACAAAAAAAAAAAAGTGGTTTTGGACGTCTGAAAAGAACTGAATTTTCTCTAGATTATATCTAAAAGAAAACCTTGCCAATCAGATGAGAATTTTCTGCTTTGTGATCGACAGCATACGTATCCAGAAACTTCGTTCTCCAGTTGTCCATGGGCATCGAGCTCCACTGTGTCATCTGGCATATACGAGGGCCATCCAGGAAGTAGATTACGTTTCCGTCTGTGTCCGCTAGGGGCGGGGCTAGCGCGGCCATCTTGGGGTCAGAGCGTTGCGCAGCTCAGTCTGCATCTAGCCGTGCTAGTGAGAGTCGTGCTGTGCTCCGTTCAGATACTGTGACGGTTTGAATGTCTGCGTTAATTGAAAATCCCCGAGAGAGGTGCGCTCAGTAATAAGGTTTCTGACTGCAAAAAACTTAATCGATAGAAATCTATCGGCAGCTTCGTGAAGTGTATGGGGACAACATATCACTGAAGGTGGAGTGGTTCAGTGGGTCATAAGATTTCAAATGGCCGAACAATGTTCACGACAAAGATCGAAGTGGGAGACCCAGCATAGCACCGCCGAACTTCTCGAAAAAAAGTCGATGTAAAGTCCGTGAAAATCGAAATTTCACAATAACGGAACTTTCTTGAGTTTTCCACAAATTTTGCGAGTTTGTTGCACGAAAAATCAGCGAAAAGCTTGGTTACCACAAGTTGTGCAAGATGGATTCCAAAAATTCTGACAGAGGACCACAAAAAATCAGCAAAAGGCTGCAGCGTTGATTTTTGGACGCTTACCATAAGGATGGTGATCTTTATCGATCGCATCGTTATGGTGACGAAACATGGGTGAACATGTGAACTTGAACGAAATTGCAATCAAGCCGGGGGGCACACAAGTTCTCCCCAAAAACCCAAGAAATGCATGCAAACGATTGTCGGCAAGGAAGATGATGGCGACTGTTTTTTTTGGACAGAAAAGGTTTGTAATTTTGGTGGAACTTCCTGGAAAGAGGCACTACAATAAACTCTCAAAGGTATTGCCAAAACTCTCCAAAAACTCAGAAGAGCAATTCAAAACAAGCCGCAGAGGAATGTTGAGCTCTAAGATCTTGTTGATTCACGACAACGCCCGGCCCCACACGGCAAATGTCACTAGTAAAGTTCTTGAATCTTTTAAGTGGGAGTGTTTCTATCGCCGTACAGTCCCCACTGGCACGAGCGACTTCCCACCTATCCAGCATGAAGAAGGGCTGGCATGCAGCTTTTGATGAGACGCACAGCTGCAAGAAGAGGTAACGAAGTTGAGTGGTTGAAGGCGCAGGGGCCGAAATTTTTCGACGGAAGGAATTCCAAGCTCATACATCGCTACGATAAATGCCTTAATTTGTATGGTGACTATGTAGAAAAAAGTATTTGAGTGTGGCTTTCATTGTATATAATAAAATTTGTTTCTACTTTTTATTTTTTTATTCCAAAAGTAATCTACTTTCTGGATAGCCCTCGTATTAGCCAATGAGCACAAAGCAAGCTCAAGGCCGTTGGCCGTTCTTTGGATGTTCTTTCGCTATTTCGTTCATCTTGTCCTGAGTTGTGTGAGTACATGTGCCCATTTATCTTTTTTGAATTATTTTTTGATGAACTGCTCGGGCTTCATATTGTTACTGAAACTAACCGTTTTGTAGACGAGTATGTGAACCAACACCTTGCAAACGAAAAATCAAGAACAAAATCGGGGCATTCAATCAGTTCAGAAGAAATATGTGTTTTTTTAGGCATACTGATTTCACAAGGTATAAACACTGAAACCTGATATTACACTTTACTGGTCCAGAGTTGCCAACTCTCCCGATTTTAGGGGAGACTCCGATTTTCGACCGCTCTCCCGCCACCCGATTTACAATACAATTATTTCTCCCGACTTTTTCTTATTCTTAATATTTCCACGATTTTATGGAACTTGGGCTTAATACTTCTTATATGAACAAAAAAAAAAAAGTGGTTTGGACGTCTGAAGCAACTGAATTTCTCTAGATTATATCTAAAATGAAACCTTGCGAATCAGATGAGAATTTCTGCTTTGGATCGACAGTATACGTATCCAGAACTTCGTTCTCCAGTGTCCAATGGGCATTGAGCTCCACTGCGTGTCATCTGGCATATATTAGCAATGAGCACAAAGCAAAAGCTCAAGGCCGTTGGCCATTCTTGGATGTTCTTTCGCTATTTCGTTCATCTTGTCCTGAGTTGTGTGAGTACATGTGCCTTTAGGAAATAGTTTTAGAAAATAAACATTTTCCGATTACTGTAAGTTTATTGTGAAGAACGAATATTATGTTTTTTCGGACCTTAACAAAGCTTTTTGCTTTTTTTTTACAATTCATTTTGCCATCATTCGATGTTCTGAACACAATCTACAAAGCAGAATCCATTAATTCATGTTTTGCAATCAATGATTTATGATCTTTTTTAAAGACATTTATCAAAGTTTTGTAAAACCAGTCTGTGTTTGTCTTGTAATTCTATATATGATGTGATTTGGTGGTGAAACAGAAAAAATCAGAAGGAAGATGAAGATTTGGTAATAGGAGCTGCAACTACAAAAGTAGTGGAAGAACTTTCTACAAAAGTAGTGGGGAAGCACTTTCAGAAGAAGACAAAAATAAGTTTTATCTTCATGTTAGAAGTTACTTCTGTGTATGTGATTACAACACTACATAAATTTCCAGTCAACGATGAAGTGATTTTGCATGCTAAAGTTGCTGATGTTTCTGCTCTAGCAATGCATCTTTTTTTTTATAAGGTACTTTTTGAATAGATTTCCTGTGTTACTTCGTTTTAGTCATGAAAGATGATGAATTGATGTGCTACTGATATACTGCAGTCGCAATTTTGCGTTACAATTAGAAAACTTGGATGAAGTTATTAAAATCAGCTAGGATTGACACCAGTGGAGGTTAATTGGAAAATGAAAGGTGCTGATGGAATTTTCAAATATAGTGAACTCTCTAGAATTATGTTGGACATGTTGACAGATCCCCATAGAATGCAGAGTGTGAGAGAATTTTCAGTGTTGTGCGGAAAACGAGACTAAATTAGATTCTAATATGAGTGATGACACATTAGAAAAACTTTTATTAGCGAAAGCAGGCCTACGTGCAATTGCTATGAACAAAATTATGAAGTTTCTTTTTAAGGAGAGCAAAATCTGCCATGTCCATAACATTGTATGAAAATGATTAAAGTTTTTTTTTTTTTTTTTTTTTTTTTTTTTTTTTTTAACGATTGAAAGTAATAAAAATGTTTTATGTTAAGGTATTTTGTTTTGCTTGTATTTAAGACTAGTAACTATTTAAAGTTAATTCATTATTAAAAAACTATATTTTTATCATTTAAAAAGTCTTTTAACATTGTGAAAAATCTCCTGATTCTTAAAAAAAAATCTCCCTGATTTTGAGTGTCATAGGTGGCAAGTATGCTGGTCTAAAAGGAATTGATCGAAAACTACATTTAGGAAATTTTTATGATAAAAAACATTTTTTATTATATTTACCAAACATTAAATTTTGTGCATTCATTTTTTTTTATTCTTTATTTGTGAAAAGTAAACGTTTTTAGAAAGTGAAACTTGCATTATTTCCCCCTAATAAATCACGTAACTACTCGTGCCTTTGTGAAAAACCGTGACACTGGAAATGAATCTTGTAGTTTTCCCACGGCAGTTAGGGGTAAGGGCAATAACAAAGGTCAATAAACATTTTTTTTTTTTTTTTTTTTTTTTTTTTTTTTTTTTTTTATGTATGACAATATATTGCTTTAGCTCTAATTTTACATCTGTGTAGTTATGTGTTTAAATTGCACATAACTTGAAAGAAAATAAATTTTTAATATAGAGATTAATAATTAATTTTATTATTTAAGTCTTGTTTCTTTGAAGTTAATCTTATATACTATGCTTATTTAATAAATTATTTTTAGTTATTGAAGCAAAATTATACTAATATATTAAAACATGAATAAGTAGTTTATCTTTGTAGAATGCTACACATTGAGTATAAGAATAAAACAATATAAGTTTGTATATTTTTCATGCCTCTTTTTGTTTTTAATATAATTTTAAAATGTTATTTTTGGAAATTAATTGCATTTATTTTCCCTTCAGAAAATATACTAAAACAAGCCACATTAGCTAACAATGTGCAAGAAAAAGTTTCAAGTGATGCCATTTCTGATCAAGTCCGTTCTCCTGTTGCCTTACCAGAATCAGTTCCACAGCTTCCCATAGCTCTATCAAGTGATGTATCTTTGATAACAGAACAAAGTCAAGAAGCACAATTAAATATAAAAGAAGAGAAAGATAAAGAACCAATAAAGGAAGCTGCAAAGCAAGTAGATAATGAGGAATCTGATTCATCTGATTCAACTTCTAGCTCATCAGATAGCGATAGTGAATCTGAAGAAAAGCGGAAGAAAAAATATAGCAAACAGGAAGAAAAAAGATCATCTGGTAGTGTTAGGAAAAGTTCAAAAAGCGAAAAGAGCCAGACAAAACACAGTAGTAGTAGTAGCCGACAGAGGCGTAGCAGAAGTAGAGATAGCGATAGTTCAGAGAAACATAGAAAAAGTCACTCTTACGATAAGAAAAGCAGTAGTAGTTATAAGAAAAGGAAGAAATATAAAAGAAGTGATAGTAGCAGTAGTTCTAGTGGTACATCTAGAAGAAGAAAGCATAATTCTAAATCTGAGTCAAATCATAATCATAGTAGGGAACGTAGGAGTCGTAGTTATGATGAACGGGAAGGAAAACGTAGGCGGAGTGTTAGTTCTTCCAGAAGTTACCGCAGAAGTGACAGCCATTCATATAGGTCATCACATTCAAATAGGCATGAAGACAGATATAAATATGATAGGCGACATAAGAATGATAAGAAATATCGAGAATACAAACACAGTCCTTCACCGTCTGGACATTCATCAAAGCTTCCAAAAAAATACAGAACAAGTAGGTCTCTTAGTTCTGAAAGTGAAAGTTCTGGTAAGAAATTGAAGAAATCCCGACATCGATGACCTACAGGCTAAGGTTGTTTTTTAAGTTATTTCCTTGCTAAAGTAATATTTGAAATTCATTATAACAGGCTCATGTGACATTTATATCTCCTTTCATTTATTTTTATAAATCAAATTTTACATTTAACATAAATGATATTTCTAAAACCTTATCAAATATTAATTTGGAATACTTAAAAGTTTGTAAATATTAAGTTCTTTTTTTTTTAAATATGTGTTTAGCTTTACATTTCCTACTTGTGTATTCTAATTGCGTAATGACTTTAAACAGACTAAACTGTATTTCCCTCAAAATAAATAGTTAAAGGATTTTAAAAAGCAATTCTCACTGTGAATAATTTGTTAGAAGATGAAATTTTTTTACTATATTTTTTTAAAAACCAGTTGTTGTGATCTCAAAAATAAGTATCGCATAATTTTCTATAATGCAGTTATTAATTTTACAGTTATGATTTTAGTAATGCAATTTTATGTTGTCTAACAGATGATCGAATGATGTTCATTGAAGCAAAACTAAGCCATAATATAAAAATCATAATATATATATATATTTAAATCAAATTTGCTTTTGGTAATTATACCATTTTTTCACTATAACATGAGAAATCTAAAATAAATTATTCCACATAACAGTCACATCCAATATAACATATGTGTTCATATAAATCAGTAATAAAAATTTTTTTCATTTCAAAATTATATTCATTTTTTAAAAATGTCAATAATTGTAGTTTTACTTAAAATATTCTGAAATTTATATACATTTTTTTTTATATAAAGATCTACCTAGCATTATTAATGTAAAGCACTGAACACATGCATACGTGTAAAACAAGAAACTTATAAACTTCAGTATGTTTTTGCAAAATTAGATTCTTGTAGCAAAGTATAAACTTAGCCTTTCTGTTTATTTGTGCTGAATTCTCATGTGATTTCACATATCCTCAAAGGTACTCTTTTTTTTGGGGGGGGGAAGGGGCAAGCCTATATCTATATTAGTATAGGAAATTAAATATGTATAGGGAAAGAGGAGAGGCAAAAACTTCCTAAAATAAGCAAATCAATAATTTCGTGAATCCTAAAATATTAAAAAAACTCATGGAAATAATTATTCCTTTGCCTCTGTTGTATTCAGTTGTTTCTTAATATTTGTAATTTGTAATTTTAAAAATATACATAATAAATAATAAAAAGGTAATCAGTGTAAGAATGAAAAAGTCATTATATAAAATAAAAAGTTTCTTCTCTATAACTTATGTACATATATAATATTTTATTTCTTCGTTCCAGTTTATTCTCAAGCTTTTTCTTTCTTTCTTAGTAACTACAGTTATTCTGTTTATCAGATTGCATATAATAAAACACTTTTAAAATTAGTTTATTTATTTGGACTAATTAATATGATATATACTGACAGTTTTGTTTGTTTTCAAAATAATTTTCCATATATATGTGTGTGTGTATAACATGTATATCACACATTATTATTTATGGGAAGTTAAAAAAAATCATTTCTTTCCTTTTCAGATCCATATCTTGTACAGTGAAATTTTATCACCTATCAAGAAAAGGGCAAGTTTTTATTTGTAGGACCTGTTTTCATTTTGTATGTTATGGTCTGCTTATTTGTAAAATTATGCTGTAAAATAGACACATTTTGAGTGCAAATTGTGTTGCTTTTTTTTTTTTTTTTTTTTTTTTAAGATGTATACAAAATCTGCTTAACAAAGTTGATACATTGTCTTTGGTAAATCAGGGGTGTTTGTGGTTTGAGCAGACAAAACTCTGGATGATTTAATTTCTCAAATTTAGAATTTCCAGGTTTTTGAAATGTACATTCATGATGTTTTTCAAATTTTGTCACAGAACAAATATATCATTTGGAAAGTGTACAAATTTCACACTTTTAGACTATACAGTATCACAAAATGTCAAACTTCTTATCTGAGTTTGCTTTGAAAAGAAATATGTCCTATACAGAAACAGAAAGAACTGATTCTGTAAACTTTGTGGCTAAAGTACCCAGTGTTTAAACTTGCTTCTATGAACCTATGGTGCATTTAATAATACAGATTGTGATATGGCAAAATGTAAGATGCATTGACTACTGCTAATTTAAATGCTGCACAGACTGTGAAATATTATTTATTCTCATTACACAAATATATAAGAGAGTTTTCTTTTTCAAGTCTCTCTCATGATCCTATAGATAAAGTTTTAGGGATAATTTATTGAATAGCTGGACAGTTCACCAAAAATTTTTTCATTTCATGAATCATTCTTTTCCTGCTTGCCATTCATTTCTAGTATCCTTAATATACACACTTTAAATTCTGATCTACTCTGACCAATTCTACATTTTTTAGTGAACTTGTCTGGATGATGTGAAGGGCACGTGATTAAGTGGAAATGGCATTTAACCTGCTGCAAAAAGTAAGGAGTCATTCTCGCACCCAATTTTGTGAGCAGAGGCTGCTGAACTAAGTGAATTTAACAGAGGGTAGATTGTAATGGTTTGAAGACTCGGAGCAAGCATCTCTGAAACAGCACAGTTGGTAGGCTATTCACGATCGGCTGTTGTTAGAATTTATCCAGAGTGGATAAATGATGGTGAAACCAGCTGTAGACGCCAAGGTGTTGGACATGTCCATGTGTTATCAAAGAAAAAGGACGTTGGATACTGTACTGCTTGGTACAGCAAAATTTGCACCAGAATGATGGCTCAGCTAACAGCCCAATACAGTGCAAGTTATTTAAAACATACAGTTCAGCAGGCACTGTTAGATAAGGGACAGCACAGCAAGACATCTCACATATTGCCTCTGATGACCAGCTGTCATTGTCAAATATACTTACAGTGGGCCCAGGAACATTGAAACTAGACCATGTATAAGTGGAAGATAGTTGCTTGGTTGGGTGAATCATAATTTCTTATGCATCACTTCAATGGGCATGTCAGGGTATGCTGTCTTTCAAGTTGTTCACCTCTGTTCAGCAGAACTAGCACAAGCTGGTGGTGGTATTATCTTTGGTGTACATTCTCATGGACGGCTCTGAAACCCTTAGTTGTAGTAGGACACACTATGAAACTGTGGACTATCTGAATATAACAGGGGATCAGTTGCACCCTTACATGGTGTCTGTTTTCACAACAGGAAATGGAATCCTTCAGCAGTCCCATGTCACAAGGCTCAAATTGTGTTGGAGGTGCATAAGAATGAATTCCAATTAATATCCTGGTTATAACCGACAGCACATATTTGGGATGTCATGGAGTGGGGTCTAGGACTTTTCGCCATCAAGACATATTTTTCTTTACAGGATTGTATTTTATCTTACCGTATTAAATTTATTTAGGTTAATAATTCTGTTTACCTTTTATATACTTAATAAAGGTTGCCTTTAATATATATAGTTATTTACAAGTATGCAATATAAAGAAATTACACATAGTTAGTTGGAAAGTTATGTCAGTATCAAAGAGAACTGGGCTAAACTTCTGTTACAACAGAAGTTATATTATCAATTTTAAAATTATGTGAGTACAATACTTACATCATTCGTCAAAATTTCTTGAAATTTTAATCAGCTAGTTCAGAGGAATCACTTATACAAGCAGGATATTCACATTTTTATGAAATCTGAATGGAAAACGGAATTACTTTGTAATCTTGTTCTGCATTTACTCTCTTAAAATTAATGTGTAACAGTGTATTTGTATGCAACTGTTCACAAAAACGTATTATATATTATTTTATATGAAATGTTTATCAAATTTAATTAAATTGTTAAACTAAACAGAGTTATTGGTTTAAATCAGCTTAATGTAATATGACCAGATTAATACAGTCGTGTAAAGAAAAATATGTCTTGACAGCGAAACGTCCATGGTGAATAGTTCCATTATCCATGGAATGATAGCTCAAATACCACCATTGCAGATGTGTGACATTTGGTACCACCTGTCTCCAGTCATTATACACCAGGAGCTTGTGGCATCCATGCCAAGGTGAGTTCAGTTGTTTTGCAGACCAAAGTTCACATAATGCATTATTAAGTAGGGGATCCTAATGTTTTGGCTCTTCAGTGTAATACTTAAGGGGTAAATTGAAAAAGACCATTGCATTTATCCGAAGTCTTGTTGATCATTCTGAACTTTCAGTTATTAGCAAAGAAATATAAAAATAGAGCAATTCTTAGAAATTAATTCCTTTCATCCCTCCAAAAAGATGAAAAATAAACTAAATGTTGAGACATCAGAAAGTTAGGTGAAAGAAGTAGTGAAATATAGATTGATTTTAAATACACTAAAATTATATATTACTTATTGCTTTGTTAATGAAATTGTTTGAAAGAACGTGTGTGTGTGTGTGTGCATGTATCGCACTGCTTAAGCCTCAAAATTCTAGCTTAAATTCATTTATCATCATTACTTAAGACTATGGTTATTCAGACAAACATCATTTGTAATGAATGTCTTTGTTTTTTTAATTTGAAAATGATTGAAATTTCAAGAAATAAAATTTTTCGCAGTATTAACAAAATTCACTTTCTATATTTTAAAATTCATGCATTGTAATTTCTATATTTTAAAATTCATACATTGTAATTTAATATTTTTTTTTACGGTTCTGCATTGAAAACTTTATTACAATTATAACAAAAGTAATTTTTATTTTTAAATCTTGAGCATGCTAAGATTTAAAAAAAAAATTAAGAGTTAGAAGAGTTTGACAAATTAGAAGAAGTTAGAAGAGTTTGACAAATACCTCCCTTATGAGAAACTCAGCAACTGGAATAGTTTTGTTAATATGAATTTAATTTTTATATAATAATTATTCTAATAATGTAATATAAGAATATAAACTGAAATGTGTAATATAAACTGAAGTAAAATATATAAACTAAAATAAATGCCAACTACAGTTGTAACATGTTATGAAGAAAAACAAGTACTGGCATTCAAAACAAATGACATATATGCCATGTGATGATTCTAGCAACTTCACTTTTGTTACACTTTATAAACAGTATTTTCCATGTATACAGACATACAATCATCCTGATGTTGAATGCATGCTAGAAAAAGATTTTCATTTATATTTTTGTTTAATAAATTCTTGCTTAATGAATGGAAATTATTTGTAGTGCACAGGAGCAACTGTACATAATCGCAGAAGAAACTTTTATATTAATAAAATACATTATTTTTGCTAAATTAATATAGAAAATAATTTTAAATTCTGAAGTAATTTGCAAATAAAATCAACTGTGAATGCATATACAAGTCTTCTAAGAATAATCATATATTTTTAGTCATCTACAATAATTTACAAATGTATATTAACCTTTGCCTCTGGGCTATAGAGACTAATTTTATATCTATTAGGGTTGTTTAGTCATATATTTTTATAGGAAGGAGCAGAACTTAAAGCCAAACTGACTGATGATTTGATTCAATAAATAATAATACAAATATATATTTACGCCATTTCAATTTATGAATGAAGAACAGTTGGTTCTCTTAGATATCATGATTGGAAAACATAATGAATTTAATTTACTTCTGAATTCTCAGGCAAGGACAAGTTACAAAAATATTAAGTGCTTAATGATTTAACTACTGTTTAGTTTTTAAATAATTAAATGAAAATAAGATTAAAATATAATGTAAAACATCAAATTTCAATAAACCGGGCCTAAAACTGTCAAGTAGAATGTTAATCATTCAGACGTGAAGTGCTAACATTATGATTGAGAGAGTTTGGTGAATGACTGCATTCTAGATTTGCAGAGTCACAACATTACTGTGTTAATTATACCTCCTACCCATGGACCTTATAAGAAATAAGACCAACCCAAATGGCTTTTCTCCCTCTTCTGATGCATTCCCGGCTGTCACCTTGACCACAACCGGAGGAGTAGGGACGATTTGTAGAGACTTACAATGGTTGGTTATTGCAGTGTGTACAATTGTCAAGAAAAAGTTGGTTGTAGCGCCTCATTTCACAAATTATAATTTTTATTTTTGAAACTGAGATTGATTTTTAAAAATTTAGCATATTTATCAAGCATAATTAACGTTCCAAATAATTATAAAGCTGTTGCATGCTTTCAGGCCTGGCTATTTTTTTAGCTTTTCCTATGCTGTAAGGAAATTTGTAACTACTTCTTTTAGAAAATAATATTTTAAATCTGACTAATAGAAAATTTCAAACAACAAATTTTCTCTTATAATTTTTATGCTTTTTATTGATGTAAATAAGTAAAAAATACTAAAATACCTAAAAATGAATTTTTGAAAGTTTTTGCTTAAAATTCTAAGTTGTGCTGCTTTTTTAAGATTATATGTGAATATTATAGCATATGTTTCATAAAGGAGTTTTATTTCAATTATATTTCACAATACATCATAGTGATAAACACTTTTTTTAACACCGTAATAATTTTTATACATTTATTCTAATGTCAAAATTGTAAAATGTAATAACTGATTGTGCTAACATTTTATAGCGATTATTTTTAAAATTTAATTCTAGTTCTGCATAATTTTTTTATTATTATTTACTGTGAATTTTAATTTATTAGCCCAAAGGGGCGGTAGCCCAGAAAGGATATTTGTTTCGAAACGGCATTTTCTGCTGTTTCATTATACACGTCCATTTCAG